GGCAGTTCCAACAATTCCGTCATCAAAAAGGGGAGAGCAGGATGGTGTAAGAAATCTTCCAAACTTCAGCTGAATAGGGATCGGGGCGATAGAGGAGTTAACATTTGGGGTGAGACAAAATTGAATGGAACAAAGGGACAGCCTCAGCATTAAGCTGGGCTGTGCCGTCGCGGCGGAACTATGGGTTTTGTTGCTTGAAAGCTTTTTCCCTATTTTACATGGCTTACCGTCTTCATGGTTCTGTATATAGATACCGCATAGGACGTTAAACTAGATCAAATTCAATTCAAATTCAAAATTCAATTCAATAATAATAATAATAATAATAATAATAATAATAATAATAATAATAATAATAATAATAATAATAATAATAATAATAATAATAATAATAATAATAATAATAATAATAATAAATTTTTGTCAAAAACATCATTTTTGCCAGAAAGCTGCGCAGCGTTCTACGCTACCCGTATCACCAATTTGACATCGTGATTATTATTTTTACATCTTTATTACCCTCCTATCATCTTTTCGCTTTCCGTGCTCCAACATGGCGAGTGTGGGTGCTGGTGTGGGTAAATCCAGCGGATTCGACGCGTCGCAAAATGCGACAATGGCCCCAACAAATAACGGCAGCGGAGCGCAGACAGCTCCAAAGGATAGAAACCTTGAAATCTTGGGGAAACTACTGAAACAGGTTAGATTAATCGTAATGGGAGAGATGGATGAGGAGGACTTACCCTCCATGGAGGATGTGAACGAGGCCGTGAAGGCCTTCAACGCACACAAAAGGGCCTGGACGGAAATGTCCCAGAAGAAGTCTCCTATCGAGGAGAGGATGATGGCGCTCGAGGAGGTTGTCAAAAAGAGCCTCGCGGATCCTGCTCGAAAAGCTGCACCAGCAGTGGTTTCGGGCGCGCCGACACAAAGGAGCTACGCGTCGGTCGTGGCTCCGCAAATGACGAAAACAGCGGTTAGGATAAGAATCGATGGCGCACAAAACCTGCAGCCACAAGAGCTGCTGTCAAAGGCACAACAACACATCGAAGGCGCATTTGCAATTCGACAGATGCGAAGCAACGACACCGAGGTGTTTGTCCAGTCGGCGTCCCAGAGAGACGCGGCGCTTAACATGCGACAACCAAGCGAATTCAAAATTTTGCGGCAAGACTTTCCTGTTGAGGTTTCCGGAGTCCCACTGCGGACAAGAATTGAGGGTGGCAGAGATGCCAACAACTACGCCATCATCAGGGAGATTGAGACGGCGACCAAGGCACGTATTCCAGGCCTGGTTATTAGCAGAATTCGATGGCTACATGATGGAAAGGAACATCAGCGATCGAAGAAAAACGGTCGCAATCGTGGTTCAATTGTGGTCAGCCTCCCATCGGAGGCAATGCAAACGGAGGTAGTGCGACAGGGCCTTGTTATCAACGCCATGCTCTTCACCGCGCAGGTATGGTCGCCACGGGCTCAGCCAAAGCAGTGTTACAACTGCAGCCAATGGGGACACACGCAGGCGTCGTGTGGAAAGGCAGCCAGGTGCGGTGAGTGCGCTGGCGCTCACCAAACTCGGGACTGTCCGAGGAAAAGGGTTTCTTGTGCCAACTGCGGCAAGGAACATCGTTCATGGCAGAAAGCAGCATGTCGGACCTACCAGGTCTACAAGGGAAGTGTGGAGAAGGCTCGGATGGAGCTGTTATCGAGGACGGCAGATATTTGGAATGAAAAACCAACAATGGCGTCAACACAAACAGCCAGACCAACTGATGATCAGGGATTTACTTTGGTCACCAGTAAAAAGGCTGAAGTACTCAAAAGAGGGCCAGGACGACCGCGTAAGGTAGTCGAAGCCCCAGCGGCACCAATCATCGCCTCGACGGCAGCACCGCCATCGGGACCTACTCTTCGAACACTTCGAAGACCAACACCGAGTGAGGAGGTGCCTTCTCTTTTCAATTTTTCATAACGTTAGTCTGATTGAAGGGGGAGTTAACGAATTTCGAGGAAAGTTTATATAATTATGGTTGAAAGGAACGTCCTCAGCATTAAGCCGGGTCGGTTCAAAGTGGCAGGACATCGGGTTTTGTTTGTTGAAAGCTTTTTCCCTTACCAAAGCGGCTTACCGTCTTCATGGTTCTGTATATAGATACCGCATAGGACGTTAAACGAGACTAATTCAATTCATTCAATAATAATAATAATAATAATAATAATAATAATAATAATAATAATAATAATAATAATAATAATAATAATAATAATAATAATAATAATAATAATAATAATAATAATAATAATAATAATAATAATAATAATAATATAATAATAATAATAATAATAATAATAATAATAATAATAATAATAATAATAATAATAATAATAATAATAATAATAATAATAATAATAATAATAATAATAATAATAATAATAATAATAATAATAATAATAACCAGAGCAGCATAGCTATACAGATAAGAAGCGAACACATTGGGTTCAATTCCTATCTACACAGAAGAAAAGTTCCGGGAGTAGACAGTTCACGATGCCAATGTGGATATCCGTCCCAAAATGTGAAGCATATGGTCATGGCCTGCACCAGCTGGGCCAAAGGAAGAGGAGAAATACTGAGAAAGGCAGAGAACCGGTCATTTGAGGCCATGATGAACAATCCCACAGATATTGCAAGGATAACTAGATGGATCCAGCAGGAAGGAAGGCTAGAGCAGTTTCGACTGACGCTTGAAGTCGAGGCCAAGATGAGTGAGAGAGAGGTCAGCAAGGAGAATTGGTCTCTTGCCACAAATAAGGGAGTGGACGATATCCGCACTGGATAAAACAGTATTAGTGCACTTCGTGAAGGTAACACAAACTTAAAGTGTATAGAAATTGAGAAGTTGAGGGGGTTTTTACCATAAAGGTTTCCTCCTAAATAAATATTAGAGTTCGTAGACACCTGCATGGGCCATAAGGCGCCAAATCGGGCTAAATGAAATCAAATTCAAATTCAAATAATAATAATAATAATAATAATAATAATAATAATAATAATAATAATAATAATAATAATAAAAACATCATCATTTGGTCAAAAGCGGCACCACGTTCCACGAACGTTATATCATCGTTTTAATTATTGCATTCATCTCAATCAATCACTCTTACTTGATTCCTCGAATTTTTTTTCGTTGCGCTTCGGCATGGCGAGTTGGGGGACAGGAAAGGTGGATTTCACGGCTGGAAAAATTTTCACGGCACCACCACCACCACCAACGGATAGCGGAACAGCCGCAATAATGCTTGTAGAATCTCTCGCGACTTCTACTGGCATGAAATTGGAGAAACTAAAAACAGTGGCTTATTACTTAAACAGGGTCAGAGATTGACTGGCGATTGCAGGAACTGATAAATCTGCGACACCAATGGTCGAGATAGATGAGGTACTTGATGCCTTCGTAGCCCACGCCAAGATGTTCCGATCAAAGCTGACGGCTAACCCAATGGAAGATCGAATGTTGGCCTTAGAGAAGGTCGTAAAGGAGAGTCTCGAAAAGCCGGTCTGCAAGACTGCACCACAACCAGCGCAATTAATGGGAGGACGACCCACGTACGCCTCGATCGTCGCGCCGCCAGCCACCAAAGCGGCAGTACGGATTCGAGTAGAAGGAGCGAATAAGATGCAGCCGACAGAGCTGCTTAACAAGGCAAAATTACACATAAATGGGGCATACGCCGTAAGGCAGTTAAGGAGCAATGATACTGAGGTGTTCGTGCAGTCGGTCTCGCAGAGAGACGCTGCCTTGAGGATGGCGCAGCCCAAGGAGTTCTGCGTCCTAAAGCAGGATTACCCTGTTGAAATCTTGGGAGTCCCACTGGGGACAATTATACACGGAGGAAAGAATGCCAACAACAGCGTGGCAATATTTAAAATGACAACGGAGACAAAAGCACGGATTCCAGGGATACAAATCAACAGGGTGAGGTGGCTCTATGACGGGAAGGAACACACCTGGGTGAAGGAAAATGGCCATACACGAGGGTCAGTTATTGCGAGCTTACCGACCGAGGCTCTACAACGCGAAGTGATTCGAAATGGCATTGTAATGGACTCAATGCTATACACGGCCCAGCTCTGGTCACCCCGGGCACAAGTCAAGCAGTGCTTCAACTGCAGCCAATGGGGGCATACCCAAGCATCCTGCAACAAGGTAAGGAAATGTGGAGGGTGCGCGGGCACCCATCAGACCAGGGACTGTCCCAAGAAGTCGGTACTTTGCTGCAACTGCGGCAAGGCCCACTTATCGTGGCAGAAGGGGGCGTGTCCAAGCTTCGCGGCATACAAGGCCAATGTTCAGCGGGCACGGTATGGACTCCTGGAGAGAACGGCCGAACTAAGAAGGGAGAGCGAAACACTAACGGAGTTACCTCAATCAAATACTGCTAACATACCAGACGACCATGGGTTCACGCTAGTGACCAACCAAAAGCCAGAAGGCTTAAAGTGAGGGCCAGGACGCCCGCGAAAACAGGTCCTGGTCAACTCCCCTCCACAACTATTTGGACCATCGGGGTCAAATTCAAGACCACAGACGTCTCTTTTCAGCACGCGAGGGCAGGGAAAGGATGGCGAGGTTCAGTATAATTTTAGCTAGTCCTGTCTCGGGCTAAAGGCCCATTGTACATTCTGTAGGTAATAGAGGACTATAGATGAAATAAAAATTGATAGGGGGATGGGGTTTTTACCGCAAGGTTCCTCCTATGTAAATGTTAGAATTCGTAGACACCTGCATGGGCCCAGGGGGCGCCAAATCAGGCCAAATGAAATCAAATTCAAATAACAATAATAATAATAATCTGAGCCTTCTATAATTCATTCAAATAAATGTAAGTTTAAAGTCCAAAATCTCAATCTATACAACATCCAGAGCATAAAAGTTCCTCTGCTTGACATACACTTGTTAATCAATAGTCTAACTCAGAGCCATGTGATGATACTTCTACCTAACAGGGAAATTAGGAATTAAATTTCGGCGAATAAAAGCTGGACTGGTGGTCTGATACCGACGTGCTATGAAGGTTGAATTCGTGATTCTTCCGGCTAAAAGTGAACGGTTTGTCAGCAAAGCTCGAGTAAGAACAGTAAATACTATCATGCGGTCATAAATCTGTCTTACTTTTGATGTCCTCGATAGTTTCGTCAAAAGCCATAATCATTCTCCTGTATATTGATCCACGATCTTCAGGTGTTGCGAAAAATGTTCCGTCTCTAAATAGAATTGTTCTGAGATTCTTGGCTAGCTCCTTTAGTCCTTCGAAACTGGGCGTGAACTTATCAAGAATCATTTCAAGATCTGAAAGATCCGTATATTTAGACGAGTAGCAAGTATCAATTTCACCCTTACACCATTTGTCCAGATTTCGAAGCTTCGCCTCATCTGCAGATTCGTACTCTATGCATCCTACAACAAACACGTAGAAGAATGATTCTAGATCATGGCGATAAGTTCGTCGGATCGTAGGCTTTGAATTCGCAGCGGATTTTAATCTCTCAATTGCCATGAACTTCACGGTGCCTGTTAAGAACAGTTCTTCGTCCTCTGCGACATTTCCTTTCAACCTCACAGAACAATCAAAGTCAATCAGCATACTATGGGAATCATCATCTGTAGTTGGATCTTTCAGGATAATATTTCCTTCGGAAATATCTCCATGTAAGATACTAATATCGACAAGCCTCTGGTGAGCCTTGATCGCATCTCTAATTCCGGCCACAAAATCAAGGATCGACCCGCATGTGTCAATTTTTCTGCCACATGGTGTCATTGCAATCCTGAAAAGAAATCGATTTCTTTCCAAAGACGGTATTGTCATAGCATGGTAGTTAGACCCATAGGTTACATTATAATCGTCGGCCTTTAAATCCCAGGGATCAGCGCCGGAAAGATCGAGGTTTCCCAGGTGACTGTTAGTCTGATATACTAACTGTGATGCTCTATACTTCACGACACCTGGTAATGGAAGTGCATCCTTCATGAATCTGACTTCGGCGTTATCCGCAGACCTGCTCCACGAGTACTTTATCATGGTTGATTTGTCCTTCGTCTTATAGCAGGTCGTCCCTCTAGTGACCAGGGTCGTTGACTGTATGACAGGCTTAGGTTTGATCTCAAATATTTGGTCTGAGTTACCATCACTTCCTGTGAAATTTGCTGTGGATTGTCCATTTTTTCGCAGAATTGACATGTCACGGCCAAGTTCTTCATCGCTCATCAACAAATACGAGCATAGTGCTCGCACAAAAATCTCCTTGCTATCTATAATACCCATTCTGCCCGAGCTGTAAGCCCCCGAGCGATCGAAAACCCAGAGTTCGAATTCTTCTTTAAACATCAGAAATCCGTGCATAAATCGCCGCAGGGGCTGAGCGCAGTATACTTCACGAGCACATCTTGATAGTTGAAGGAACTTTTTCTTTCTTATAGACTTACTCGGTGATACTGTGAACTCAGCTCCAACGTTCATGTTTTCCCAATCAACATCATTATCCTGTATGTCAATGCTTTTAATCAGTAAGTCGATCTGAGTAGTACCCGTAGACTCCTGAGCACGTTGCGTCCTATTTGTACGACAATACCGCCCTCGCAGATGGGCGCCCTTATCTTCGATGACGATGGGATATTTTGTGGACCTTGTTGTGCGACCATTGAGCTGATTAAGAAAATTCTCCTCAAAGAAGGTAAGCCAGTCCCATGTCTCACTTTCAGTCATGCCTTCTTCTAGGATTTTCTCTTCTTTGTCATTATGAAGACGTTTTTGTTCCTCGACGCCTTTTGCGGTATTTTTTGCTTTTAGCTCCCTCGATCTTTTATTCTCCTCAGCAACCTCATACTTTTTATAGCTTTCCCATATACGAGAAGCCTGGTCGGTCCAGTCCTTTTTTTCAAAGAAACAGTCCCAGAAGTTTGGGATAGCGCAGAATACATTATCTTGCAAGTTACTCTGCAAATACATTTCCAAATCTTGGGCCGTCATGTCAATATTGGATCTCTCCATTAAATTTCTACGGATTGTTGTCAAGCTGCTCCATGGTCCCACTGTTGATTCTGACGGAAACTTTATTACAAGATCAATGGCCAGTTTCAAGATATCGCGCTCATTTCTTTTGTTAATAATGTCTTTCTCAAGTTGTTCAAATAATTTGAGATCAGCATCTCCATCAATTATTGCCGTCTCTGTGACTTTGAAAAAGTTCCGAAGTTCCGAAATGTTCCTTTTGTCTCGTAATGGCTGGGTGTACTCATATAAGCTGGTGTACAATTTATTAAGAACTAATCTCTTAGCTGAAAGCACAAGAGCTCGGAATTGAATTTTACCCAGTTTAGAGCTAGCGCCTTTGCTGTGCCTTTTTCTGCATTTCTGGAGAATATAATCAATCGAATTGTTCTCTTGATACGTGAAAATTTCTTGGAACTTAGACATCATGGAAAATAACTTTTAGAATGATGGGTGCAGAGATAAATTGTGTAATAAGTTGATGTATAGTAGAATATTACATCAAAAACGAGGGAGGCAGTCGCGTAATTATGCGTAGTGATATCACATGACTTTCAAGCCAAATGTCACCTTCCTACAGTTGTGCTGAACTAAGTCTGATATAATGTGGCCTGGGAGGGCAAGACTGAACATCTGTACGCGTTGTCCTCTGCGAACCTGGGGTGGAAATATTCTCCCGGGGCCAAGTTCAGTCAAATTTCGCAATATCAAAAAAGTTGGCCCATGAGGCAATTATTCAAATAACTCCACCACGTCGTCTTTTCGCTCCCAATAAGTTTGACTCCAACCTAAGCCTCATCAAGTCTACAAGTACGACCAAGTACATCCTCACCCCCATGACCACACCTCTCTTCGACCTTCTCTAGCCTCAGCTGGTCGCCAGATACACGCCCGTGCCGATATTTACACCCGCTGGAGGAAGCAAAGCGTGGAGCACAAATCTGGGAGACAGTTCTTTGGGATGGACGTGAGAGGGATCAGGACAAGTTCATAAGATGATGCAAAAGATGGATACATTCTCGCCCGGCGTGAAATTTCGAATTTGGGCAAAGAGTTTTTATGAATTGAGCTTTGTACGCGCCAAGACTTCGCTTGCGAGAGTGCAGCTGACACTATAAACACAGGCCAACGATAAAGGTGCCGTGGTCCGCCTCTTGGTAGTGTTCTCTGGTATAGTTTGAGTAGCCAGGGCACCTACTCCATTTGGAAAGGGGACACCTAAGACCACGTTTCGCGCGGAGAAATGTGAACGGATGATGGAGGCATGTCTGGATAACTCAGGGTTTTTGAGACGTTCCCCTGGGTGGGTATTCACGGATGAGGGTTGACTTGGGGTGAAGAAAAAGCCGCTATAACTTCGCAGTGGTACGTGCCAATGAAATCTGAGGCATGAGTGCTCCTCTTGTAAATCGAGTCATCTTTTCTGTCTTTTTCTTTGATATTGTGTCATAGCTAGATAGCTGCATACGAAATTAAAATCTGATATAAAAAAAAAAATTATAATATTCCATTTATGTCCTGTATGAGCTTACAACTATATAGCACAGACTATTTAAATACAACTTTTCTTTTCCATTCTGATTGGGTTTCCTTTAATTTGATGGTGGGATCCCCATTAATGGTTCACCAGAGGGAAGGTGAAGGCACTGCAACAGGATGCTTGCCACGTGTTTCTTGAAGAATGAAGAGTAAAGTGTTAAAGTTTCAAATGTTTGAACACCTTTTTTTTCCTTTTTTTTTGCAACAGATTTTAATTGCGTATGCAGCTATCTAGCTATGACACAATATCAAAGAAAAAGACAGAAAAGATGACTCGATTTACAAGAGGAGCACTCATGCCTCAGATTTCATTGGCACGTACCACTGCGAAGTTATAGCGGCTTTTTCTTCACCCCAAGTCAACCCTCATCCGTGAATACCCACCCAGGGGAACGTCTCAAAAACCCTGAGTTATCCAGACATGCCTCCATCATCCGTTCACATTTCTCCGCGCGAAACGTGGTCTTAGGTGTCCCCTTTCCAAATGGAGTAGGTGCCCAGGCTACTCAAACTATACCAGAGAACACTACCAAGAGGCGGACCACGGCACCTTTATCGTTGGCCTGTGTTTATAGTGTCAGCTGCACTCTCGCAAGCGAAGTCTTGGCGCGTACAAAGCTCAATTCATAAAAACTCTTTGCCCAAATTCGAAATTTCACGCCGGGCGAGAATGTATCCATCTTTTGCATCATCTTATGAACTTGTCCTGATCCCTCTCACGTCCATCCCAAAGAACTGTCTCCCAGATTTGTGCTCCACGCTTTGCTTCCTCCAGCGGGTGTAAATATCGGCACGGGCGTGTATCTGGCGACCAGCTGAGGCTAGAGAAGGTCGAAGAGAGGTGTGGTCATGGGGGTGAGGATGTACTTGGTCGTACTTGTAGACTTGATGAGGCTTAGGTTGGAGTCAAACTTATTGGGAGCGAAAAGACGACGTGGTGGAGTTATTTGAATAATTGCCTCATGGGCCAACTTTTTTGATATTGCGAAATTTGACTGAACTTGGCCCCGGGAGAATATTTCCACCCCAGGTTCGCAGAGGACACCGCGTACAGATGTCCAGTCTTGCCCTTCGTTTGTTCGCTTTACGTGCAGTAATTGCAGGTGTTAGAACTGCTTTTCCGAATACTAGCCTCTTCGTTACTTACTTCCTGAATCATGCCGTAGGACAAACCTAGGCATCCTAACATGAAACATCTATGTGTATGAAGACGCTAGATAGCATGTTCTAGGCAATACATGGAATTCAAGGCTCCTCACCGCGCCAGCACATGATATCGCAAAACATGATCTGCACGGAGGAATCACCACAAGTAATCCAAGAAAAATACAAGTACTCAACCTCAACCTACTCTCCGTCATCCAATTACTCAACAGATAACTATTTACAACCTTAATTTACAACATGGATGATTTCACAGAGATTGACCCATATCTTGCTTAGAACTCTATCGAGTATATCTTGGAAGAATTCAGAAATAACTGTAAACATGGGTCTAGCCTTAAAGCAGGTGATACATACCTTCACGCTACAGTATATTAAGCTAATAGATTAGTCCTTGCGAGGATGTTTTCCGAACTGGTGTATTACACAATTCCTTTTCGCGCTAGTCGTCATATGTCCATAGTTGCCGAATTGTTCGATGATCTATCGGGCAAAATCATGAATAATGAAATAAACCTACATAAATTTGACCATCTTGTTCATGCCATTTTCAAGAAAAAGAATGAGCGATTTCTTTTAGATTTATCCCTCAAAATTCTTTCTGCTGAATACAAAGAAAGCCCTTTATCGACTCCTACAAATAGTATAATATCACATGCTAAAAGTTATACAGAAATACGGCGTTTTGATAAGATAGCCGAGAAGATGAAAGATGATTTGAAGTCTGATATAGACAACCACGTATTTCATGGTATTCGGAATTTCTGGAATGTTTTCGTCAATAAGGCATGATCCGAACAGACTGCTCGCATTTGGGAGGGCTACAAAAAGTATGAGACTGCTGAGATGAAGAAGAGGTCATCAGAAATACGAAAATTGGAAAAGCCGAAAGATATTCTTCATCTGGTAAGTTTGCATAAAGCCTTGAAAGAAAAAGTTCTGGTGATAAATATGAAAGAAAGTGAGATATGGGAATGGCTCAATTTTTTCAAGGAAACATTTTTGGATCAGCTCCAAGAACCTTTGCCAAATCTATCGACAGAAAATCCCGTTGTCATTGAAAAGGAAAGCTTCCAGCTACGAGGACAGTATTTTCGGACAGAACACTCACAACACGCAGTAAACACGGCGGACTTCTCCGAAACTGATTTTATGATCAAAAGTATCAATCTACCAGTGAATGGTCCTGTGGATGGGGAAGACATAAATGTGCTGGGCGAGATCAATAAAGCACCCAGCGGAAACGTAAGGCAAGAGAAGTTTATCCGACTATCAAGATCGGTCCGAGAAGTGTTTTGCGCTCAACCTTTGAGACGATTCATGCATGGATTTTGCTTGTTTCGAGAAGAATTTGAACTCTGGCTTTTTGATCGGTCTGGTGCGTACGGCTCAGGCTTATTAAGTATTGTTGATGATAAGGAGATATTCATTCGAACAATAAGCTCTCATCTCCTGATGAGTGATGAGGAACTTGGTCGGGATATATCAATTCTTCAGAAGGGTGAAGATAAGTTTGTACAGTTCCGCAAAAGTGGAAATATTGAAGGTTCATCCTATGAGATCAAGTTTAAACCATTAGTACAAGCGATGGGACTGTTCGATCGGAGCATAACCAGCTACGAAACGAAGGATGAATCAACCGTGATCAAGTACTCATGGAGTAGTTCGGAAAAAGATACTTGAGCCGAATTACTAAAAATTACCTCCTCTATACCTGGTGTTGTTAAGTGTTTAACTTCAGAGTTTGTTTATGAAACCAAAGATCACTTGGATAATCTAGATCTATCCCGCGCCACATATTGGCAATTGAATGCTAGCAACAGGTTTGTTCCAAAGGGCTCTCACGTAAATACAATAACAAAACCATCCATGGAGAGGAATCGACTACTCACCAGGATGGCAGTAACACCACGTGGTCGACCAATTTACTCTAGTGGGTCGATTCTTGATTTTGTTGCTGGCATCCAAGATGCAATCAAGGGACATGAGGGCCTTGTGGGTAAAGGGATACTACATGGAGATGTTTGTGAAGAGAAAATAGTTTTGTTAAAGACAACTTCAGACAAAGACATGCATGGGATGTTGACTGGCTTGGAACATTCAGTTAAGATTAAAGACAATTTAGCCAAGGACTATGAGCATTTCTTGACGGGTAACTTGAAGTTCATGGCGCTCGAGCGATTAAAGAATTTTTCGCTAACAGGAGAGGTCATCCGACGAACTTGTCGCCATGATCTCGAATCATTTTTCTATGTCTTTATTGTAGGATGCATTGAATATGGAAAAGTGTCTGAATCAAAGGATAATAGTCTGAACGACTGGTGCAGGAAAGATTTGAAGATGAATTTCATGTGTAAAGCATATTATGTCATGAGTTCTGAAATGCTTGAGAAATTTACGCCCAGTTTCGAAGGGCTTAAGGGATTAGGAATCATATTGTGAAAAATACTTTTTAATTATAACGGAAAATATATAGAAACGCCCGAAGACTGTGGATCCTTATATCAAAGAATGATCAAGGCATTTGACAAAACTATTGAGTATATTAGAGGTACAATATTTCTGTGACCTTTCGAAATAGTTTTCACCGGATAGAGTTTTGCTGACAAGTTATTTACGATTTAGCCGAACAAATCGAGAATAAAACCTTCGAAGCACGCCGAAAATATAGTACGGGAACGGCCATTTCACGCTAAAAAGGTTGAGACAGTACCTCATGGTGCTAAGTTGGACACGTAGACCAAAAATTGTATGCTACTGAAATCGGCATCCATGACTTAGAATTTAAGTAGAATTTATTCTTGAACATTAGAGCTTCGAAATTTTATTATGGCTAAAATAATTGAAAAATGATGTTATAATTTGATTTTGTGCACGTTATTGGCTCAGTTTCGTATTAAGAATTGACCACTTACGGGTTGACCTTGGTTTAGCTTAGGTGGAGAACTAAGCGGAGGTTGGGGCACAGTGGCAAGAGAATTGAACATTGTTCTTTATCAAACTCCTTAGCTTTACTTTACCACATTACATTGGGGCTATGAAGAAGCGTGAGGCAGCGAAGTGGAATGGTCAAGTGAGAGAGGCGAACTAGGTGGCCAAGAAAGATAACGACGGGTAGCGGCAGAGAAATATGTCATTCTTACCAACGGAGAACATTCTGGATGAGTTGGAAAGATGTGTAAATATCCATTACCCATAGTTCTGTTACTTGTCTCTCCATATAGTTTAATCTCTCTAAAATTATACTACAAACAGCCCGGCTACGTTACACATACGTTCACAGGCACAATTGTTTAATTTTCGAGATATCCGTGGCTACTTTTTTCCCCTCTTCCGCGCTCGCTACTGCCACGGTCGGGAGAGTCAAAATCTTTGAGGAATTTCCTCTACCAGCCTCCAACCCCCAAGGCATGATAGAACCGTCAAATCTTTCTCCGACTGAATCAAAAATGTATGAGAACGTTAAACCGATAGCAGAATTTCGCTCGGAAGCTTCGACTATTTCTCAAGTCTGAAGATTGGCAAACTTGTCAATTCGTTCTGCTGCCATAGTACAATATATAGCCTCGGGTCAGGCCTCCTTGATATCCATCCTTGCTTGTTTGGCGAATCCTCTTCCGAGAGCTCCCGACGCCAGGAGCACAACAATACTCGCCATCCCATTGTAGCCTTTGAAAAGCACTCTGGCTAGGGTGGTCGGAAACTGTCGAATCACCAAAATTTTGCGCGGGCTTGAATTGTAACTGATTTGCGCGCGCTAAATTTACTCGTATTGATTAAGAGTTAATTTGCAAATTTTCAGCTTATTTCATTCCCTTTTCCTTTACGCGCGCGCTTTGATTAGGCTTACCAAATCATGTTCGTTCATTTTATTTATGCGCGCGCTTCTTGCTAGAGATTCTTGAGGTTGTAATTTTCAGGAGATTGACATCCGAAACTGTTTCTTACTCAATTAGCTCAACTCAATTAAGACTGAAAGGCCGAGCAGAAATGATATGATAGATGATAAATGGTTTGCATGTATATAAGCTAGTGAGAGGAGATCTGAAGAGGACAGAGAATTGAATCCACTTCAAACATTTTTAAAGTATCTCTGTGCAGTTTAATAGAAACGGACTGTGACGAAAAGCAGTCCTCACAATAACGTCTGTTCTGCAGCCTGCGGACAAAGCACGAAAGAAATTCGCTCCGAAGGCGAAAGCTGACAGACAACAACACCTTCGCCTCGGAAGTGACCACACTTGGTGGAAGCTGTCCCCCGAGGATACATGAGCCACAATGGTAGTGCAAGCCACTGCAACATAGTAGTGGTTAGCTCGATACACTGAACGAGGATTGGTCATTCCATTTTTTCAAAGCACGTAAAAGCGAGACAGAGGATACTGGATGCCTCTTCGAACTTGGCGAGTTCCAACGCCAAAATCGAAGCAGCCTCGGATCTAGTCTCGTTACGGATCCCAAACGTACCCGTAAGAATGAGCCTTTCAACCGGCCCAACAACGGTCATTGTTAGGGGGTTCTCAGCCGAGATCCATCTGCGGGCTGGCGAGGGGCCAATCCAGGTGCTGTAAGGGAGACATCTCTGATAGATTATATCAGCGGGTAGGAGTTATGATATACAGGTAGCTCGAATAGTTAGGTGGTCTCCAACAGGAAATTATGATACAAGATGTTAGACTCTACGAGTCAATTGAATAATGTTTGTTTGTTCATTAACGTGCTAGCTGAAGTAACAACCGTCGCACTCCTGGAGCTTGAGCACGAGTGGGGTCGGGCCGGATCAGGTTGACTACCATAAAGTACAAATGCCTCGTCCCACCTAAATGACCGGAACCATGCCGAAACGCATCTATGTGTTGAATCATAACGAGACCAACAGCCCAGAATTGAAAACAAAACAAAAGAAAACTTCCACGCAAAATCCTGCATTACAATAGAAAAACTCATACAATCTCTCTCCCGCCATTCTGCCTCGGCCACCACGCGCCCGAACCTCAATTACTATCCCTACTTCCATGCCAGATCACCTAGGCTTTCGTTCATCACCTCCGAGTCACAGGTATCCCTGCCATCCCCCGGCTAGCCTCCGCGTATATTCCGCTCTCCTGGACATAGTCCCTGAACAGTTGCCACCCGCTTGATCCGAGCATTGTTTCTATAGCTGGCGCCCTTCGCCTTCCGCTTTTCAGCCGCCATGTTGCCAGTGCTTTTCGACACTGGACAAGGTGACCAATTGATTTTTCCCTCCCACACTCGCAGTGAAGTGTAGCGTCAGTGTGGTTGAAGCGGCGATGATAAGCCGCGAAGTCTCCATGTCCGGTTCGAGCGGCTATTAAGCGAGCGTAGACTACCCTTGGTAGTGCTAGCTCTGGCGGTTTCTTGCGTCGCATCTCGAGTTCGAGGTCTGCATAATGTCTGGGGCGATTCGAATGCCACCAGTCTGTAACCATCTGTCTGGCCAGTTCGCGAGCTTTCCTTCCGGAAGAGGCGAGGGTCATCACCCCATGTGTCGTCCTCGTATCGTCCCACGAGTTAAGCTCTCTTCGAGCGAGCTCATCAGCCATTTCATTTCCTACCAGCCCTTCGTGGCCCGGGATCCATCCTACTTTAACAGGTGCTGCTGCTCTAGCGACCATTTTGCAGAACTTTTGAATCCTCCAGGATGATGAGCTTGTTGTTCCCGTTAGTAAGGCCTGGATAGCCGCAGAATTGTCGAGCAGAATATAGATGGCGCTACGACCACGATCTCGCTTCCTGCTAGTGATTGCTTCAAGAGCAGCTAGAGCTCCATGAACCTCAGCGTCGTAGACCTCCGCATTGGTTATTTTGCCTGAGCCGCTTTGCTCAATTACCCTGCCTGTGCCACTGATAAAAGTCACAAAGGCCCATGACACTTTGTCGGTGGACGCCCCAGAGCCATCACTGTACACGCAAAGACAGTCGGGTGGGAGAGTAGGTAGCCACTTTCTTATAAACCTAGCTGCTTCTTTCTTGCTTGTCCAGCGGGGAATTGGCTGAGGGGGGGCCGGAGGTCGGAGCGTTGGAGGTAGTTCGGCCTCTGGCAGGAGTCGATACATCCTCTGGACCCTTGAATCATGCACTCTGTCGAAACCAAGTCTGGTTTTGTTGCATGTCTTTAGGCCGAGTCGGTGACGAGCGCTGTCTGTGCTTTCCGTGGCCCGAAGTCGAAGCGGATGGTACTCATCTAGTGTCCGGATTCGTGCGGCAGTCTTGAGCCTGCGTTCCTCGAGCAGAATTTGTGCTGGCGGAATACCAGTCTCTCTTCTCAGTGCTGCAACAGGCATCGTGCGCCAGGTTGGTAGAGCCACGCGGATTCCGAAGGCAGAGGTTTGGTCGATGACTTTGCTCTGTCTCTTGTAGGAATTACGCGTCACACCTCGATAAGTTTCCCTGGTTGGCCCCGGGCACC